GCAGGGGTGCGAGGGACCGGTGCCCCAAATTAGAAAAACTGTCTCTTTGAGGTGACAAGAGAAAAATGCTAGCGGGAAGTCTCTTATTGATCACAAGAGAAAGAGATTCTAAAATACTCCGCTTAGTGTTTAGGAGAAGAGAATTGGCCAAAATAGAGAAGGTCCTATATAGAGAGGTTTACTTGGAACTAAAGTTCTGTATCATACCTAAACTAAGAAAAAGTATGAAAGTTTATGAACAATGTTTAACAAAGAGATTTCAGCCACAGCGATTTTAGATACTTACTTTATTTGAAATCTACTTACTAAGTTTTTTGCTCATTAGTTTTACCTTGTGATGCAGATGATGTCGTTGTTACCGAAGCGTAAAAAAAAAAAATGATTTCTAAGGTTGGCTGAGTACTCCAAGTCCTACATCTGGCATCTTGCTTATATGTACTTCCAAATAACAGATGAGCTCAAAATATTTTTTTTGTTACTATGTCGCTTTGAATAACTGTTTAATGTCTAAGATTTGTAGTTGTAATCATTTTACGCACTGACTCATTTTTTTCAAAAACTTTTACGAAAATTTTGTGATGAAATCACCCACAAGTTTTCGCATATTAAAAATGACATTGTTTTAAGTATAGAAAATATGTTTTAAGTAGCACCACTTCGCTAAATTCAGTCTTAAACTGGTTTAGCATTGGGGGCGTTACAACAATCCTTCTCGATTTTTTTTTTTTGAAATGGCTCCCCAACAAATTTTATTAGGTTGAAAATATTGTATAATAACCTCAATATTAAAGCTATTTAAGGTATATTTCTCAATGTACATAAAATATAATTCATAAATTAATCTATCATTCAATTTTACTCATAGCGGAAAGTAATACCCTTCCACAGTAGTAGTATACATTATAGAATTAATGCTAATGTCAAAAGTTGATAAACTAATGAATATAAGTATATTTTTTCGTATCTAAACTATTTTTCATATAACTAATACCTTTTAAACCTAGCTATATATCATTAGAAAGGACATAAATAATATAAATTTCAAGTTGGGCATTAAGACTATTTGGGCTCTTATGATGAATTGATCGTAGTAGATAGAGGCCAAATTAGGTGATATTGACTGTACCTTGAACTCAGAAGGGTCAATTTAGGGGGGGTAGGACTCAAGTCCGCCGTGAAAATATACTCTGGCAACCTCCGCCGCCGTCAGTGGCCAGATTCTGGCGAGTCTCAGTTCTTGAGGTTCCCGATGTCCGATCGAAGATCTGAGACCATATCCTGACACATTACGATGTGCTGAACGCAACAGTGACCTCTGTTTGTGCCAATTCGACTTCATTGAAAAGTCTACAAGTACCGTACATGCAGATCGAGGCAAATCAAATGGATTTGTTGAGGTTCAGATCGAGCTGTGGAGCTTCAAGAATAGACATTTGGACAACGTGAAGTTATCCGTAGAATAAATTGCCACGAGGTAGGATTTCTTGTCCTTTTCTTTCATAGCCTGTTTTTAAGAGTTTTGGCCTTACGAAATGTTTTAAAGAAAGGACATGATTGATCAAGAAAAATATTTTAACACAATAGCTTGATTTTAGCTATTGGAATCATAGTGAACTGTTTTAAAGGTTTAATGAATATTTTCTTAAGATAAGATATCTTACAAATTAGTAGGCCTGCTGATGGCTTAGATAGGATATGCAGAGAGTATCCTCAGGGGCAGAGCCTGAAACCTGGACTGGGCCACTACGATGGTGTTAAGGCTTGTGCTTGTGGTTGTGTAAGTAATTTATCATAGTATAAATTACTTGCTACTGCATGTAATACAGAATTTAAAGTTTATACTTCCTTTCAGAAAAATGGATGTTAGGTTTCGACTGTTGTGTTGGAACTAAATATCTTACTGGGCCTTTCGCTCACTTTTCCTCTATTTTCAATGGTTTAACCCCTCTCTCCAAAGTTAGCGGTTTAGATTTACAGTATGGCAAGTGGATGCCAATAGATTGAAAGCGCGAGATTCAAAGTGGTTAGTTTATTCTGAATTCACAGTTTTTAAATTCTAAAGTTGTACTGTATATTTGTATATGATATGTATTGGTCAGCATTGTCCCTGAGATGTGTAAAGTTTAAATTTTTGAACTGTTTTGATATTATTTGTAAAAGAAAGTCTCCGGAGTAAAATATATTGATATTTATGTATTTATTTTTGTGATTTTTGTTAAACAGTCCAGTTTAATTAAGTTAATTTTCTTTAATTAAACTCTAATAATCACGGTCCCATCTTTGGGTTCGTGACATCTGCGCGACCTCTAACGCGTCCAAAGCGAGTTGTATCCATTGTTTTGTTATTCAAATTATTTTGCGAGTTGTCTTTTACTGCAATATTGTCAATTTGATATGTTGTTGATTTTGGATAACTCGTAATAATAATCTTTGTGATTTTAACGTAGGGATTTAATTTATTCGATACTTTTATTTTGTGAATCACAACTTGAATTGGTGAACAAAACATAAGGGATTCTCGACTCCTTGCCGCTTTTATTATTAAATTTTCTCCATACAAATTTTCTCCTTTTTATTTTAAGTGCAACAAAATCTCAAAAATCTTCTTTTACTTTAATTTATTTATTATTTATTCTTCTCTAATGCTCTTATTCTGCTAATCTTTCTTGTTTATTTTGTTACTTCTCTATAGATACGACCGCCGTTCTGCACTACAATTGACCGCTTGTGAATAACATTTTTGGGCGTTAATCACTTAGCAATCATGTTACGGACATTGTCTCTTATAGAAAGGTTATTTTCTTTCAAGTGAATATCATCACATTTCTCCAAGTGTTGTTCCAAACGCGAGATATTGCTCTTCATATTCGACACATAATAGACGTTGGAAATAAACTGGTGGTTTCCATTCTTCACAGCTACCTTTGACTCATCTCCGAAAGACACGTTGCCTCTCACTGACTTATTAAGCTCCAAAAGACTTCTTCCTTTTCTTTTCCTCATAGGCTTGTAAAGAGCCCAATAGTTGCTCAATCAAGATAGCCTCTAAATCTTTTGTTTCTTAAATGATGGCGACAATATGATCGAACTTTGAATCTAAAAATCTCAGAATCTTTTTCATAATTTTTACAAAATATAACTTCTGAATTTCTCTTTATTTGATTAGTTACCACCAAGACTCAAGGAAAATAGTCGGACACACTTTCACCATCTTTCATTTGCAAGGATTCAAACTTACCTCTCAAAGTTTGAAGGCGCACTTTGTTGACTTGTTCCGATCCCTTCTAAGAGATCTGAAGCTTCTCCCATGCTTCCTTGGCGGACTTTGCTTCTGCAACCTTCTCAAACGTGTCATCATTCAATCTTTGATAGATGAGGTACAGAGCCTTTTTGTCTCTCTTTCTCGCATCCTTTAAAGTATCCCTTTGGGTTTGGGATAGAGCGGTCTCATCTTGTGGCTCATTGTAGCATTTTTCCACCATTTCCCACACATCCTGTGCTTCAAGGAGGGCCTTCATATTGATGCTCCAATTGTCGTAGTTGCTCTTGTTGAGGACTGGGATTTGGAAGGGAACCATACTGTTATTCGAAACCTTTCTACAGGGGATCTTGTAGCTTTGATAAAAATTTGTTAAATATGGGAGAATTTTAGAACTAGAAAAGAGGCTAGGATGAAAAGCTTAGAGATTTAAGAGGAACTGGACTCTTTTGATTACTTTTCTAGAGATTTTTTGGCTTGATACAAAATGGAAGAACTCACCCTATTTATACTAGTGACATCTGCACAAACAATAGCTAGGATTGTGCCAATACATTTCTAATCTAATGGTTACAATTCATTCTCTAGAATTCTCCATTAGATTTCTCTTCCAAAATATCTTATTTTTCTTGAACTCTCTGCCTGTTCTTTTGGAGTGTGACTTGAGTGTAGTTTTTGAATTGAATTTGAGTTATAACTTGAGTTGAAGTTGTATGAATAAAGTTTAGTAAAATTGAATAAAGTTAAAACTTAAAATAACGTGAACTTGAATAAAGTTGTAACTTGAATTTTAACTTTTTCTGAGTTTTGTTGCAAAAGAACAACCCACATTTCTCTCATCTAAAAATATCAAGATATTATTTGAAGATTATTCTAGAAGTGCCTTCAAGAATTTAGGCTTATTGTAGTCTAAATTAGATAATTGAATCAAAGCCCAATAACTAAAATATCAAACTTAATTAACATTAAGCCCAAAAACAAGTTTAACTTCCAACAAATACTCTCTCCTTTTCTAGTCAGTGGATGTAGACACATTTTTCGATGCTAAAATATTTTGACGTTAGATTTTACCAATTGTGCGTTAAATAAGGCATCAGATAAACGAAAAATTAAAATACACCGCAGGGATTGATTTTTTTATTTATTTGAAGGGCCAGGAATTGATTTATCAACATAGAAAATTGCTGTTCATGTATGTGCATACACTTGGAATGCTAAAAGAAGAAGGAACGATATCAAGTATTGAAAATATGTATATAATAATTTACGTCTGTGTAGATATATAATATTCTAAAGAATAAAGTTTATAATACAGCCAACCAGCTCTAAACCAAGGTTTCTTTAACAAAAAAAAAAAAGTGAAAGATCGTTAATATTGACGACAAATAATGCATGCATGATAGCCGACTAATTCGAATACTTCTTCTTAATTATTTATTGCTTTGCCTTCTGGTTGTCTAGTATTTCGCTTGGCCGCCATTAGAAAGTGATATTTTTGGCAGGTATCAAATTTGCAGAGAATCATGCCAACGATGTTTTATCACATTGGTTGCAGAAAAACATAAATAAATGCAAGTGGTGATTATAATAAGCCAGCTCATATGTCCAACATAACCGGACAATATACTTTTGTTGTAATTCAATGAAGTTGAGACATCTATAGATATAACAACCTGATGCAAAAAAGAATTGCAGCCCATTTAATTACTCTTTTTTGTCAATCTTTCTCTTCATGTTCTTAATGGGTCTACAACTTCCCTCCTTCTCAATACTTCTCGGTTCATTCCTCTTTGCGTTTGTGGTGTTAAACATACTGAAAAGATCATCAAAAACTATAAACTCTTCTTCGAAACTACCCCCGGGACCATGGAAGTTGCCCGTCATAGGAAATTTGCACCAGCTTATGAGCTCTTTGCCCCATCATGCACTAAGAGACTTGGCCAAGAAGTATGGACCCTTGATGTACATACGAACTGGACAGGTTCCAACATTAGTGGTTTCATCGCCGGAGTCTGCGAAAGAGGTGATGAGAAATCATGACGCCAGCTTTGCTTCTAGGCCAGTCTTTCTTTTTACAGAGATATTGTTCTATAATTCAAGGGACATTGTGTTTTCTCCGTATGGCGAATATTGGAGACAACTGCGAAAAATATGCACGCAGGAGCTCTTGAGTGCGGCGCGAGTTAAAACTTTTAGACCCATTAGAGAGGAAGAGATGTTCAATCTCATGGAATGGATTGCTTCAAATGTTGGCTCTTCTATAAATCTCACTGAAAGAATTCACTCCTCAACTTATACGATCGCATCACGAGCAGCCTTCGGTAAGAAAAGCAAAGATCAAGAAGAGTTCATATCAGTCGTATTGGAAGCTTCAAAGATAGCATCAGGTTTCGATCTCGCAGATGTGTTTCCTTCATTTGGTTTTCTTGATTCTCTTTTCTTCGGTACGAGGGCTAAACTGGAAAGCCTGCGTGAAAAGTCTGACCGGATAATTGAAAACATCATTACGGAACATAAGGAGAAGCCAGCAGCAAAGCGTGGAAAAAGTGAAACAGTGGCAGAAGATCTGGTAGATATTCTTCTAAAGTTTCATAACAGTGACATTGGCTTTTCCCTTACAACTGATAATGTTAAAGCAATAATCATGGTAAGAATACCAATCTGTAACTTGTTATATTCTCATACTATTATGCAAGAAATTTATATTTGTGCATCTAACCAACGTGGATAAGGTTTTTAATTAATCGACTTTGGTTCCAAAAGCTTTCAAATCGAATTATTTTTAGAAACGCCTGCCAAGCAATATGGACCTTATGTCAACTCAGCTCTGGCTATGAATATTGTTTAAAAAACTTTTTTCCGTTCAAATATATTTATAAAGCTAATGAAGTGGTTGGTGTGGACTAAATGTAAGGTATTAAAACCCAAATAATCTTTAAAAAAGATTGGTTACTAAAGTAATAAGACTTTTAAATAAAAAGTGAAAAGAAAATAAAAAATAAAAAAAATGCAAGTTTTTTTTTTTTCACTTTGTATATCTTTTTTAAAAATTCATTTGTGATAGTTTTGATCAAGTTTTCTTTATGCATCTTTAGTCTCTAGAGATATGGCAAGACTCTCTCGTCACAGATTCTCTTAATATTTTGACTTTTTTCATCTTGTATTCCCTTTTGGATTTTCCTAGAAAGGTTTTAACGAGGCTTAGTTTGTAGGGTTCGTGCATATAGGGATAGTCTAGGCTTGATCTACTGCTAGACCTTGTTGGATCTTTTGGATCCGAAAAAGTAGTGATTTATATAATTCGAGCTTAGGTCTCTGCCTTGCTGGTTTATGTTTGCTTTTGGGTTGTCTTGATTGTTTTAGACTTCCTGATTTTATCTTTTTATTTTTATTTTATTAATATTTGAGTTAGGAGTCTGGTAAAAGATGACTTGTTTATTGGTACCAATCTAGTTGAGATGTTTTGAGCAACTCTCATATCGCCATTTATTTAAAAAAAAAAAAAAAGGTTTAAATTGGAATTTGAACTTTTTCTGCAATTTTCTAAAATGACCCTTCATTAAACCTTTTCCTTTAGCCTGACTAATCATTTTGCTAGTTATATAAATGAATCTTCACGGAAGAGGCTTTTTGGAACACTTTTATGTTGTTAAGAAGGTGCAATAACCACGTTTAAATAATCGAGGGACATGTTGACGTAAGGTCCACGGTTCATGGGAAAATTTGTAAAATTAATTTAGCTAGAATTTTTAGTTCTGCAAAGTAAGCAATGTTCACATATGGCTAAGAACATTGGTATAGTGCACCAGGTCAAAGACGCAAAGATCCCTAAACAATTAACATACGTGTATATCTGTTTGGATTAAAGTTACTTTGGTTTCAATACATATAACTAATGAAGGTGTAGATCATCAATTGTCCGAAATATACGACTCTTTAAATCTAAAAAATTGGGAATTATTAGGTTATAAGACCAAGAGTATTTTACCAAAAAGAAAAGACAATTTTCCTTGTTTTTGGTAAGAATTGTATGCAATTGTGAAGCATAGACACTAATTTCAGCTAGATAACTGATAAGATCTAAGACAATTCTCAAGAAATGAGAAGAATTGAGAAGAGAAAGATGAACTTTTATTAAATTGAAGAATGAATTACAGAAGCAGTACTTCGAGGGACTGCTGGTCCTCCCCTGCTTAGCTAATGAGCCAAGACTTCCCAAAATCACTTAGACTATTCCCTGACCTCTCTCAGTTCCCGAACCCCCCTTTTAATATCCCCTGCCTTCTCTAACTAATTCCCTAACCAACTAAAGTCCAGAGTAACTAACTAATAACATCCTTTCTAACATACTACTAACTTCTCTAACCAACTAACAAGTTCCTATCAATAACACAACTCACTTTTTAACTTTCAGGACATCTTTTCTGCTGGAACTGAAACATCTGCTACCGTTTTGGACTGGGCAATGGCAGAATTGATAAAGAATCCAAGAATCATGAAGAAAGCACAGAATGAGGTGAGGGAAGTATTTCGTAGAAAGGAGTCGGTTGATGAAACAGCCATTAGTGAGATGACATATTTGAAATCAGTTGTTAAAGAGACATTAAGGTTACATCCTTCTGGTTCCCTTATTCCAAGAGAATGCAGAGAAAAGTGTGAGATTAATGGCTATAAGATACCTGCGAAAATTAGAGTCATCATTAATGCATGGGCAATTGGAAGAGATCCCAAATATTGGACTGAACCCGAGAGTTTTATGCCAGAAAGGTTTATTGATAACCCTATTGACTACAAAGGAGCAAATTTTGAATACATTCCATTTGGAGCTGGAAGGAGAATATGCCCGGGCTTGTGGTTCGGTCTGATTAATATTGAACTCCCTCTTGCAATGTTGCTCTACCATTTCGACTGGAAGCTCCCGAACGGAAGGAAATATGAGGACTTAGACATGACTGAGTCTTTCGGCGGAACAATTTGCAGAAAAGATGATCTGCACTTGATTCCCATTGCTTATGACTTCTCTCCTATTGAAAAAGCAGCTACTAAGAGAATGAATAAGTAACTTGTCTCTAATTATATACTAGTTGTTTGTTTAAACTTGACCAAAAAAAGAAAACAAAAATTTAAGGCTACATAACACCGTTAAGGAGTAGTTATTGGTTCATACTGGTTTCTATTTTTCACCCCCTTGAATATACAGCACGATTTCGGTGAGGTCATTACCGTTTCTTGAATATGAAGTATCTAAGTAAACTAGACATATATCATTTAACTATAGTTAAAGAAAAAAAAAACACATATATCATTTAACTACTCTTTTTGCAGTGTTACCACTTGAGTCCACTTTAATGTGTAGACCAACATCCAAAATGGGGGAGAGACAGAAAAATAAGACATGGTGGAGTCAGGGGAAGATAAAAACGTCTTGTTCTTTCGCTCCTCTCAATCTCCCGGGTGCGCTTCTCGGCAAACAAAATGCGCCACGTAGCCAACTTTCACTCCCACCGTTCTCCATTTGACACATGGCGACCGCATATAGAAAAAGAAGAGACCCCTACTGAGCACTCTCCATAATCATAGTACCCATAAAATACTGAGAGCCTCATTAGAGAGTTGATTGAGAAAATATTGAGGCATCGATCATTTCACTTAAATATGAAGTTTAAATAACAATTATACATACTTTTTTTTTCGGACGTTGGTCAAATATAGCATGTTAAGTTAATAGAGGTTTAACACTCTATCCAACCCGATGACTAGGTTCATCTGATCAATCAGAGCCGTCTTGTCTTCAAACTGTGATTGCTGCTGTGATACTGAGGGAAAATGGCATCAACGATTCCAGATATTGGGTTGCCGGCCATTAAGCAGAAACTAGGTACGTCTTAAAATTTCTTTGATCACTTACGTAATTTAGAGAAATGAACAAGATTCCAGTGACAAGTGAAGTAACTCACGGGTGGAATTTTTAATTTCAGTTAAATTTTTTTACAAAAAGTCACATATAATATTTTTGTTACAGTTAAAAGCTCTCACTTACAGTTACATTTCAGCTCTAATTGAAAACTCGAATCGGTGAATTGAACGAGGCTGAGAAATTTATCTTTGAGAATTCGGGGTCACATTTTTAGGGTTATTTTATTTAAGATTATTATTTTTAGGTTTAGGAATTTGTAAGAGAAAATATTTTGAAGATCAAGAATTAGAAATTGAATATTGAAGAGTCAAGCTTAGAGAACTTTGGCACCTCCATATGAATTTTTTCTTTTTTTCTTTTTTTCTCTGATTTTTTTGTTAATTGAGATATTGGAAATCTTGATTTATTTATTTTCAATTATGTTTTAGTTTCATTTTGTCAGAGCTCTTATTTAGCTTGCCTATGATATTTTAATTTCTTTTACTCACGTTACTTATTTTTATTTTCCAAGTATGAGTGTTCTTCACTGTTCTTAATGCTTCTAATTAAAATTGAATGGGGAATTATGTGTCAAGTTCATTGTATTGAATACTATAAATTGCATGTGAGATAGCATTATACTCGCATGGTTTGTGTAGTTGTTACATGAAACTCCAAAAATCTTAATGACTCTTTGATTATTATGATTCACATATGAATATAGTGGGTTAGCGATTGAGGAGATTTTTAGTGTAACTCAAAAGAGAGCATTGAATACATTGGGATTTCAACGGTCAACTCGGTTAATAAATTTGAGTAATGAGAATTAAGGAATTAAAGTGGATTAGTTATGGTGAAATCGGTTGCTCTAGTATTTTAATTATTAGGTTTTGTTTTTATGATTTTAGTTGTTTTTATTTTATTTTTCTATCTTTTTCGGTCGTTCAAATAATTCTAAAGTTAACTAACTTCAGTACTTAATTGAAATTAACCCAATCCTCTTAAGAACGATACTTTACTTATCACTTTGCTACTTATCTGCGATATTGTGCACTTACAATTTTCACAACAACCCTTATTTACTTCATAGATTTACTAGGTATAACGTGATTATTCATTCAATTCATCATGTACAATACTTTCCAACATTCACGTCCAAATATGACATAAAAAATGAGAATATACTTTTATTTTTTTAAAATTTTTTTACATATATCTACATGCCGTTTTAAAATTCACAAAGCAAATAATTATAACATCCTAACTCATTAAGGTTTTATGACTTTTATTTATAATATAACAAGGGCTAATGCGGACAAACAGTTGCAATATATATTATCAGAGTCAAATTACGTAATTTCAGCGGCCGTTTTTTCAATAGGTGACAAGTCATAAGCAATGGGAACCAAGTGCAAATCCTCTTTTCTACGAACTGTTGTGCCGAAAACCTCGGTCATGTCCAAAACCTCATGTTTCATTCCACTGGCCGGGAGCTTCCAATCAAAATGGTAGAGCAACATTGTAAGAGGAACCTCAATATTAGTCACACCAAAAGACACGCCCGGGCATATTCTCCTTCCAGCCCCGAATGGAATATATTCAAAATTTGTTCCTTTGTAGTCAAGAGGGCTATCAAGAAACCTCTCTGGTATAAAACTCTCGGGATCGGTCCAATATCTGGGGTCTCTTCCAATTGCCCATGCATTAATCACTACCCTAGTTTTCGCAGGTATTTCGTAACCATTAATCTCACATTTTTCTCCACATTCTCTTGTAATAAGGGGAGCAGAAGGATGTAACCTTAGTGTCTCTTTGACGACAGATTTCAAATATTTCATCTCACTAATGGCCGTTTCATCAATCGATCCTTTTCTACAAAAAACTTCTCTCACCTCGTTTTGTGCTTTCTTCATGACTTTTGGATTCCTTATCAGCTCTGCCATTGCCCAATCCAAACCGGTAGCAGATGTCTCAGTGCCGGCAGCAAAAATGTCCTGAAAGTTCATATATGAGTGGTGTTATCCAATCAAAATTTTTGGCTGTATTTAAAATTGATCCCATTTTTATTTTTTACATTTTTTGAGAAAGAAAAAATAAAAACGTTTTCAAAATGGCGTTTGGCACAATAGAGATAAAAAACGGAAATGAAAACGATTTTTTAGTTTAGTGTAAAATGAGAGAGAAATGAAAAACGACTGAGTCGTTTTTCATTTTTTGTTTTCATTTTCTCCTCTCTCGAGCAGAAAGAGAGAAAGAGAGACATTAATGAGTTTTTTTACACTGAAAACCATTTCTTGATAAAACTACCAAACGCATTTTCAAAAATGATTTCTGTCTGAGATTGACAACGTTTTCATTTTCATTTTTAGACAAAAAATAAAATCATTTTAGAACGAGTTCCAAACACGCCCTGAAAGTTAACATGAGTGGTGTTATCCAATCAAAATTTTTTAAGCTTCACAATTGTATGCTTTTCTGACACGCATACAAAAACACACATATATGTATTAAATTATACGTTATCTTAGTAAAGGCTTTCTTTGCCCTGGCCTATCATTCAAAATTGGAAGACTTAAAAAGCGTGATATTTTGTAAATGTTGATGATCTTTACCTTGAATTACGGATTTTGGAAAGGAACTAAACTTGAATCTAAATAACTTGGACAATTGTTTTTTAAGTTTGACTCGTAATTGAAGTTGGTTTAGAAACTCTAGCTAAGTGAAAATATGCACAGATATATATATATATATATGTTTCTAGCGTAGGACGATATTCCACCATAGATTGATATATACTCACAAAGATTATTGCTTTAAGGTTGTCAGTTGTTAGGGAAAACCCAGAGTCGTTGTTATGAAACTTTAGAAGAACATCTACCAGATCTTCGGTCACAGTTTCACTTTCACTACTTTTTGCTGTTGGCTTCTCCTTGTCATGTTCATTGATGATGTTACTAAGTATCCTGTCATTCTTTCGGTGTAGCTTCTCGAGTTTAGCCCTCCTCCCAAAGAGAAGAGGATCGAGAAAACCGAAAGAGGGAAACACATCTGCAAGATCAAATCCCGATCCTATCTTTGTACCTTCCATAACGATCGATATGAACTCATCTTGATCTTTGCTTTTCTTACCGAAGGCTGTTCGTGCCGTGATTGTGTAACTTGAAGAGAAGATTCTCTCTGTGAGATTGATGGCAGAGCCAACATTTGAAGCAATCCCTTGCACTAGATTTGACATCTCTTCCTCTCTAACGGGTCTAAATGATTGAACTCTCGCACCACTCAAGAGCTCCTGCATGCAAATTTTTCGGAGTTGTCTCCAATACTCTCCGTATGGGGAAAAGAAAATGTCTGCAGAATTATAAAGCAGGGTCTGCGAAATTAGAATGGTTGGTCTATAAGCAAAGATGATATCATGTGTTCTCATCACCTCTTTCGCAAACTCCGCAGACGAAACTACTAAAGTCGGAACCTGTCCGATTCGCACATACATCAAGGGTCCGTATTTCCTGGCCAAGTCTTTTAAGACACGGTGAGGAAAAGGGCTTAGAAGCTGGTGCAAATTTCCTATGATGGGCAACTTCCATGGTCCTGGGGGTAGTTTTGAAGAAGTGTTTGTGGGTTTTGATGATCTTTTCAGTATGATCATTACCATAAACACAAAGAGGGGTAAGCTGAAAAGTGTCGGGAGAGAAGAGAGTTGGAAATCCATGAAACAGATGCAGAGAAAGATTGCAACTCTATGTTTCTCTAGTTTGCTTCCGTTGTCATTATGTAAATGTAACAACTTGATTGACGTATAATACAAGATGTCCAGGTAAATATAATATTCTCATGGTCTGCACTTGTTTATGTTTTTCTGCAGGCAATGTGATTGAACTTCCTTGGCATGATTCAGTGCAAATTTATAGCCTTTCAAACAATTATTTATTAATTCACATACTCAGACGGCCAACATTGGGAAATGAATAAAGAATTTATAAGAAGATTAGCACGGCTCCTACGCAACAACGACACGCACGCAAAAATATAGGCGACCACGCGGATTCTTTTGATCTTCTGTGAAGTAAGTTGAATTTTTTTATGTAAATAAAGAAGGAAGAAGAAAAGAGTTAAAAGAACTCTATGTAGCTGAATTTGTGTATTACTGCATTATAATGTATGAAACTGTTGTCGGCATTAGATTTAAATACTTGTCACCACTCAAAAAAGGCCGCGACTATCGGGAGTTTAACTTAAACATTAATTTAAATAAAAGGGATTAATTAAAAAAATTCAAACAATTTAAATATTTGCAAAGTAAATACTACAATTAATATATTACTTCAGAGTCTTCCGTTTATAAATAATACTAAAATAGTTCATAAAACTAAAAAATAATACAACTCTGGGACAATATCGACTATAGAGTTTATATACACAAAATACAGTATAACTCGGAATTAAAAACTGTAAATTCAAAATAAAATGAACTAATTTGAATCTCGAGCCTTCAATTCAACTTACCGTGCTACAAATCAAACTACTAACTCTTGAGGGAAAAAAACATTTATTGCAGTGGTGAGCCAAATGCTCAGTAGGTGGGAAACGGGATAACGACGATAAAACAAGAAAGGAGCTAATAATCAAGTATTGATCAAAACCACAATGACTGAAATATTGATCAAAACCATGACGCATAACGCAAGTGCATGTAAGAGAAATATGAAAAAATATGCGAGTCAACAAATGCAATCAAATGCAGAAAGGAGCTAATAATCAAGTATTTTAAAAACTCTTTTAAAATACTATATCATTTTCCAGTTTCATTTCAAAAGGGATAAGGTATCCAGTATCAAAATATTCTACAAATACTAGGTATTTGTAATTCTATTAGCCACTAGGATATCCAAATAATTATGAAACTAAGTAAAGATAAAATTCATACACTTGTAGTTCGAAATACTCTTTCAAAATACTAATACGTAGTTTAGTGCAAAGCCAAATCACCACCCATGTAACGGAATGGCCCCTACGGGTTTCAGGACCTGCCCCCAAAGATATGATCTCCATATCCTGGTCTCTATGGCCATCATGTTGAATCAACTATCTAAAATGCTCATTAGATAGAGAGTTTGAAAACTCATATATCTCATGCTCAAATTATTTCAATTCGAGACTTAATCTATTTTTCTAAAACTCACTTCTAAAAAACCATGATTTGCGAGCTCAAGTTTTTAGGAAGGTTTTTCATATATATAATCGCTGTATATATTTACGAACATATATAAATAAAATCCTTTCGAATTCTCCGAGTCGGAGTAAAATCGAGAGATGAAAATCCATGAAACATGTCTGGAAAGAAGGTAAATGCAACTCATGCTGAGGAAAACAAAACTCAAGAAATTAACATCCTCAATCTAAATTCAAAAAGTAGAGCACGTTCAACTCATGCTAAACAACTCGAAATTCAAGAAATGAATATGCTCAATTCAATATCTGTAAAACATCATGTTTTCAAACCAATGGATAATTTCACAAAACATGCTTATGAGCAAAACATGGAAAATTCCCGTCAATAATCCAAAATATAATGAGATCATCATTTAAAGTGTTAATCCAAGGAAATGCATGTTTACTCCAAATATCATTCTCCAAGTGAAACATAATAAGCTTCTTAAAATCATTCTATCTCATAGGATCACATCCTTAGTTCGGTAAACTTACCTACATGTCATCCACATAATCCCAAAACAATAAGTCTTCATTAACAAGTGTGAACTTCGAAGTTCTAATTCTCAACATCAACGAACGCAAATTAAGTGACCAAGAGAGCTTCTAATCACAGTTCAAGCCTAATTAGAATGGATTAACCATCTATTTAGGTTAGAAGCTCATCCGAACAATAAAGGAGTTGATGACACGAACCATGTAATGACTGAGAAAATTCCAGACTTTAAATAATACAATTTATTTATTTAAGCCAAGGATTTTCCTAGAAAATATTATGTGACTGAAGGATTTATGGAATCAATATATGTATTCCTAAATTCTGTAGCAGATTTCATGTTAAGTTCATGTTTTCGATCAAGTAAATTCGATCGATAAATTCTTGCCGTACTTTAAGGCGGAATAATTTTCAGTACAAGTATAGTTTGAGAATCTTAATTTCAAGAATCTCCAAACACAGCATGATGTTAGCAGCATAAAAAAAAACGCACTGACATTTTTAAAAAAAGAAAAAATCCTTAATTGCCAGACAGCTAGGTTAAAGTCACAAGATAGATACCTATAGTAGAAGGGTACAATGTGAGCTAAGGAGTTGACACCGTCAGAAATAATGTCACTCCCGGGATATAATGCAGAAAAGTTAAATTTAGAATTTATTCAGTCTAGAATTAATTTCAAGACTTGAAACAGTTTAAGATATTACGCGAGTAAGAATTTAACGTGATATCAAAGCAGACGAGGATTTAAAAGTTGAACTGTAAATAAGTAGTAGAAAAAAAAAAGAGAACTGTCAGAAACAAGAATTTCCTGTCAGCTAAGTACCCTTTACAGTCAGTATGATTTTTACCTTATTCAAAGGTAACTTAAGAGAGTGGACCTGTCAGAAACAAGAATTTTTTTGTCAGCTAAGTACCCTTTACAGTCAGTATGATTTTTTTACCTGATTCAAAGGTAACTTAAGAGAGTGGACTAAAGTACAAGGGGTAGGATTTATTTTTCTCTCTCTCCTTCTCCACTTTGGCCGGCCATGCATAGAAAAATTAGAGCCAAAATTGGCTAGTTGAGTGTGCTAGGGGATTACATGATAAGGTGTGATGGGATTGTGTCAAATCAACTATTGGACATAAATGCTTACCATACTTCCTTCTTGAAGCACACCACCAGCTATGCATAGAAAAAAATAGAGCCAAAATTAGCTAGTTGAGTGTGCAAGTGGATGACATGTTAAGGTGATGTGATTGTAGTGGTTGAAAGGGAATTAATGGCAAATTTGCTTCTCCTTTTCTCCTTCCAAAACCGGCCAAGAAAGGGGGACTTTAACCAAAAATTTGGTTGAATGATGGAGTGGAATTGGTGTTAAAAAAAATAGTTTCCAAGTTGCCTATAAAAGGAACCAACATAGGATAAGCTTCATTTTTTTTCTCCTAGCTTTTTCCCACTCAAAAATCCGGCCACACACTCTCCATTTCCTCTCAAATATTTTCTCCCACTCTCCAAATCTTGAGCCACTAGCACACCATAGAAGAAGAAGAAGGAGATTAAGGGATTCTAGGAGGAGACTAGTCAAGCATTCCTCTAAGGGTAAAGAAACTCTAAATCCTCTCTTTTTCATGTTTTGGGAAAGTTTGAAATAGAGAAATATTCTTCTCAAATTTCCTTATACTCTTATAGTTTCAAGCCATTAACAATCCTAGAGGAGTTCAAGGGTTTTTCAAGAGAAAGAGAGAATTCTTCAAGGGAAAGTTCTTAAACTCCCCTCCATTAATTTCTAGCCAACTTTAAGCTTGGATTTATGGATGTAAATTTGTGGTTCTTGAAGAGATAAGATTGTAATAAGGGTGTGTGAGTTTTATGTTGGTTTTGTGAGTTTTGAGGTTAGTTTGATGTGG